AAATAGGAGCTCTTGGATCTCATAGTTTCAGATCTACAAATGTATGCTGTATAGGTAAATTAAGAGAAGGAAAACACTGCCTGCATAAAGATGCTGAGCCATTAGTTCTAAAAGCAAACAGTAGGAATAATCTAAAGGCCTCATAATAGGAGTTTCTAAATGGGGACCCACCAGCAAGATGATCTATTAGGCATCTATTAAAATAAATGTGAAACTGACAAATAAGATAATTTTCTTGGGAGTAGGGAAGGAGAGAAGTGATAAAACCAAATGGAGTGTTGTCCCATGCACCAAAAGTTTGGGGGTTGGATTCCCTGTCAGGGGAATACCCAGCTTGTGGTTTGATCCCAGGTTGAGGCACAGACAGGAGGCAGCCAATTAATGTTTCTCTCTCACATGGATGTATCTCTCTTGTTCTCTCCCTTCATCTCTCTCTAAAGTCAATAAAGACATATCCTTGTGTGAGGATTGACAAAAACAAGCCTCTATTATTAGTATATAATATTATCAATAGACAAAATTCATAGCAGTTTTTCCAGTGATCATATTTTGTGATATTACTTATATTCTCAAATTCAAACTAGTTTGGCTGAATGGTGAAAGGCACCAAGAGTTAACACACGAGGCAAGAATTGTTATTTTAAATGCTTTGTTTCAATGTAAACTCCTACTAAGGGTGCCTGCTGCTGACCAGAATGGGTAGCCGTTTTTGCAAGGCCAGGCTTTCTGGCCCAGTGCTGACTCTAACAAAAGCAGTCAGGCCTTTCCATTGAAATTCAAAACAAAACCACCCATAACCCCATTTTAAAGAGCAAAACCACAAGCCACAGCTTCAGTAATTGCTAGGGATGCCCATTAGAAACTAAGTGCAGGGAAAGGAGGCCACCTGAAAATTGGTTTACAACCAGGACAGGAGAAAGGGTCCATGGAGCAGAAGCCATATTGCTGGGTAAATGCACCTACAGAAACCATGTGTCAAGTTTCTGTGAGGCACTGGGCACCAGGTTGAGGTCAGTGCTTAGGTGGGAAGCCAAATAGTCTTTCTTTGTGAATAATCCACCTATTGCATCAATTGGATGTGCATACACTGTTGGTCTATAGGCCATTTGGGCTTGAAGGCGATGGACCAGGATTCAAACACTGACTCTGATACTTACTGTGGATAGGTGACTTTTATACCACAGTTGCAGCGTCTATGAATAAAATAAGATGAAGTGGTTTGCGGAGACTAGCAATTGGCACAGAGTAGATGTTCAATAAATAGTATCTGCAATTAGTAGTAATGATGATGGTAGAGTGGGATCATTATTATAGAATTAAAGTATATATTACGTATATAATATAATCGTGTCTATATATATATATATATATATATATATATATATTTTCATATGTCATGAAAGATGGTAATAGCCTTGGGCTTAGAATAACCTAAAAAAAAGTAGGTCTATCTACTTACTTACTTGTCCAGGAATTCCCCATGAAATTAGAAGATTAATGTGTCTCACAGGAGAAATGCCTCTCAGGGAATAGTGTTTGAGTGGATTCAGGGCATACTGGGCAAGAGGAGACCTTGGTTTAATTTCATGTACCTGGAGAGCTTTTGGTCAAGTTAATTAGGATCTTATGCACTGCAGAGACATAAGAGTTTTTTTTTTTTGTTTGTGTGTTTGTTTTTAGCAGGAACTGTGTTGAGAGGTTGCCCTAAACTTTGAATTTCTACCATGTGGCACTCAGAACATATTTGTTGAATGATTGTCTGAAGGCTTAGTATCTAACTTAGGGAGCTCCTTGATTTAGGGCAATTCTCACCTCCCCTGGTCCATTTCCTCCCAAACCTTATTGTGCCTACCTGGTGCATAACCCACTTGGCAGTCAGTCAGCACATACCTGAACAGCACCAGGGGGCAGAGAGCCCGCAGATTCTCCCTTGGATGTCTTTGATCTTTTAGACATCACCTTGGCAGATGACACTCCAATGTCTGCTCTGCCATGGCTTAAATTCTATCTTCACCAAGTGCCTAAAGCTTAGCCAGAGTCAGACCAATAAAGTTACCTCTTTGCTCAGCCCGAGACCTCAACATGATGCATCTCTTTGGAAAGGATGTAGCTAATTCGTTCAAGGATCGGTGGCATTGGTGCAGAGAAGAGGTATGGCTTTGAAATCAAACCAACCCAGGTGTTTATCACAGCTCTACCATTTATGAGCTGTGCGGACCAGGGTAAATTGTAAAACATACATCTTGGCGTCAGTTTCTTCATCCCTAAGACAGGAAGGGGAAGGCCACCTGGGAGGGTCGTGGACACATTAGAAATCAGATGTAATGTTGGAGCCTGCTTAGCACAGTGTGCGGCTCACAATCATCCTTGTGAGGATGGGAATTATTTTCAGAGACATAATGCCTGGTCATCAAGAAGCATCATTTTCTTCAACAGTTGTTTATTAAGCACCTTCTACGTGTCAGGAACAGTTCAAGGCATTGTGGCCACAGTTGTGAACGAAGTAGATAATGTAGCTGGGGTTTATATTATAGGAGGTGGAAAGAGGAAATAGCAAATAGATACAGAATGTGTCCAATAGTATTAAGAGTTGTTGAGAAAAACTAAGGGGGAGGCTGCATGGGGTGCCACCATTAAGTCGGCCATGTTCTCAGAAAGGGGTTACATGTGAGCAGAGACCAGAATAGAGGAAGTGAGAGGAAGCCGTGTGATTCTCTGGAAGGAAAGCATTTAATCGGAGGAAACAGCAAAGATAAAGTCCTTGCCCGGGAAGGGTACTTGGCATATTTCAAGAACACAGAGGCTGGAGTGACTCCATATATCAGGTGAAGAGAAAGTGCTATCACACAGGATCAGAGAGCAAAGTGGGGACCAGATTAAGAAAGAAACCCCAGGCTGTGCTAAAAATTTGCTCTTGTCGCAGTGAGATGAGAAGTGGTGTCAGTGAGTGCTGGCTGTGCATGAGTAGTTCCCAGAAACTTCATGGCTTTATATAACAAGCTTTTGCTTTTTGCCATTCTATGAGTTGCCCTGGCTGGGGCTAAACAGTCTGGGATGGCCTCACCCCCATGTCTAATTGTGAACTTGGTGTCAGTTTGGGTAGCGACCAACCAGCTCTCATCATCCGGCAGGCTAGCTGGTGGTTGCCAAGTTCCAAAGAACAGCAAGAAAGGGCCAAAACCGATTTAGCTCAGTGGATAGAGCATCAACCTGTAGACTGAAAGGTCCTGGGCATGTACATTGGTTGCGGGCCCATCCCCACTGGGAAGTGTGCAGGAGGCAGCTGATCAATGTTTCTCTCTTCCTCTGTAAAAAATCAATATATATTGTTTCTCTCTTCCTCTGTAAAAAATCAATATATATTTTTTTAAAAAGGGGGGAAATCCCCAGTGCACAGGCACTTCTCCAACTGGACAAGGTAAGTCAGGCGGCCAAGGCCAGGATTAGTGTGGGAGACACCCAGTCACTGTGTGGACACTGGGAATGATAGTGGTCCCTTTTGCAGTCTACCTCAAAAACATTGGAGGTTTTGGACCAGAGAAATGACATAATCTGATTCACAGCTTTAAAGGATCTATGATATTAAGAACATTGTAAGGTTGAATTTAGCCAGACCAGAGGAAGTATCCAGGTGATGGGCCACTGGAAAGCAATGGTGTTTGACTGGTCTGGGCCACAGAGGCCCAGAGGTTTATGATGTTGTGTAGCCTGAAGGTGCCATTACAGTATTTTAGCAAATGCATCTTCTCCATCCTGCCTAATTGGACCTTCTCAGAGCCCTGGAATGGCCTAGAAACCAGGGGTTAGTGAAAAGGGGGTAAAGGGGAAAGAACCCCAAACTGCCCACATTCTAAGACATAAAAATATTCTCTCATGACCAAGAACTTGATAATTACAGGGGGAACAGACCACTGAGGACTGAATAACCCACTATAAGTAATAACAGAACCTCTCTAGGTGAAATGAAACAATAGTCATGTTTCTCTTTTTCTTCAACAGAAAGTATGATGCTGGCATGCTCATCGCGTGAGACACAAAGCACAAAACAAACTCAGAGAAGAAACAAAGAAACAAGAACGGTGTTTTCCTGGCGTCTACAAGAAGCGCTTTATTTTTCCTCTAGATTTCTTTTCTAAAAAAAAAAAAAAAAGAAAGAAAGAAAAACAAACAAAACTAACATTTAAAGACACAAGACAGACTTCAGGTGATAACATTGGAGCATGCTCTTTTATTAAGCGTAGGATGGGAAGGAGGACAGGACTGATGAGCAGGAGCCCGAGGAGCTGCTGAAACCACGAATGAAGGAGGATAGGGACAGCTTTGCAGCCCACCCCACAATGATCCTGTAAATTCCTACAGATGCAACGCCTCCTCTCCTGCCTGGCAAGGTATCGGGGGATGCTTGGCAAAACGCATCTGCTATAACTGCTAAAGAATGTTTGTATAGTTTGGCAGGGGAGTCAAAGGACTAGTACCTTTGTGACTCGCAGCTCTGTCTACGCCACCGAATTCTCAGTGTCTCTCCATCTTCGCTGACGGGAACAAGGCTCGGGGGCCTCTGCCCAGGAGTTGCCAAGCCCACTTAGACTTGGTCAGAAAGAATGGAGCGATGATCTCCTGGATCGATGCAGAGGAGAAGGGTAAACACTCAGCTTGCTCTTTCCTGAACAGAGAAAGCTCCGGTGGCAGTGAGGTTCTGGCTGTGCTGGTGGCTGGGTGGAACAGGTGAGAGACTGGTGCTTCTACAGAGAGACAGGCCACCACCAGGAAAGAAAAGGGACCCAAGCCTCGGCCAGCCCCAGAAGAGAGATACTGTCCTTTAACCCCTGGAATTAATTCCCTGCTTCCCGCTGGTATTTGACATTTTCCCATCTGCTGTGACTACTCCTATTTCCTTTGCTCTGGGGGATCAGTGTTGGAGAGACACGGAAAGGCCTGGATAATGAGTTGGGGGGCTCAGCATTGGCACTGACATGTGGACACACAGGGTGGGCTTCTGCTTAGCTGGCCTGGCCTCCGAGTGCCTCCTGGATCAGCCTCTCGCTGAGCGCCCACAGGGCCCGCGCTGTCTCCTCCCTCTGGGCCTCGGCGGAGGGCAGGCAGCGGCAGCAGTTGTTGAAGTACATCCCTCCCAGGCCTTCTAGCTCGGGGGCGGCAGCACAGTAGACGGTGGTGGCAGCTCCTTGTTGCTGGGGGGAAGAAAAAAAAAAAAGACTTTAAGCAATTTATTTAAGAAAAGAGGTAATGAGAAGACTTTCTTCTGACTGGAAATCTGCAAGCCTCTCCCTGCCAGGTACACTTGCGCCTGAGCTCAGCCCAGGCCTGGAAGGTTGGAGGCGAGCAGCTCATAACCCTCTCTAAAGCTGGTGTGATCCTTTGCACCTCATATAGGAAAAGGCTTCAAAAATAAATAGGCACGTCCCTCATCGGACATCTCTCCCCAGCGAAGAGGAAACCATGGCACCTTTCTGCACACACAGAAGACATCATCCAACCCCTTGACTTCTCAGTGCATACTGCATTTACACACCAAGATGTTTCCAGAACCTTCTGTCTGGATGGAACCAACCACTCTAATAATGGCCCATCAGGGAGAAACCCCACGCAGGACCGGTGCCAGCCCACTCCGGAATGCAAGTTGCAATGAGTGCTACGGACCGCTCTCCGTTCACCTGTGGCATAGCGCTGTGGCTAGCTAGGGCTGTGTGTGCGGGGAGGCTCCAGATCGTCCGGGCTGACAGGGTGCTGTCAGAGATGCTGCAAAGAGGGCAAGAAATCACTTTGCTTTGCAAGCCATCATTAAAAATAATAGGCTGGTGCTCACAGGGAGACGCGGTAGGCACGGCTCTCGTTTAAAACCAATACAGTTTATCTGGCATCTTATGATTATTTATGTGCATCACAGCCCTGGTGGCATCAACTAATTATAGGCTGATAGAGAGGGGGGTTGTGGGAGAGGATGGAGGAAGGTAACACGGGATTAGGTCACAATTAGAAAGACATTAGGGACATTTGATTGAGGAGGAAATGGGTTGGTCCTCCCCCAAGCTTACCCTTTCTCTGCTCCTCTATGGCTTAAATTGTGCCCAAGCAAGGTGCTTAATGGAAACCATACCCCATAAATGGTTTGGTTTACACTCACTACAACCATTGAGGGTCAAGGTTATTCTGAGAATCAGGGTCTTGAGATGTTCTAATTTTAGGAAAGTGCTACAAAACAGTCTTGGGTGGTTGTTTGTTTGGGGGGAGCTTCCATGTCAATATCTGTTGTCATATCTAGTTCATGTGAAAACCCCATAGTCAAGTCAATCAAGGGACATGAGTGTGGGGAGGGAGATGGGAGAGCCTTGAGTTCTGATCAGAGCGGGCTTCTTGATAGGCCAGGACAAGCCCCATTAGTTCAGAACTCGAACTCCTGACCTGGCTGAACTTAAATTGTAATTGGTTGTTACTTCAACCCCCTCCCCGGGCCTACTCCCCCAAAACAGCCAGCTACTTTCTTGGATTCAGCTCTTTCTTTTGAAATTGCTTTGGGTGGTGGCTCAAGTCTAATGGAAATAAGTTCATGTCATCCAAATTTTCTTTCACTGAATTACTCTTGCTAATAACACTCTGTTTAGCACCTGGCACATTTCTCTAAAGAATTTGAGAGGCTTATCTGATTCCTTGCACCTCCTGTGGGGAGGAAAAGCAAGCAAAGTGCCCCATAAGACAAACTGAAGAATTGAGATGCTTGTCCCGCTAACTCAAGCCAAATATCCTTTTGGCCTCACTTCTTAGCAGAGTTCAGTTGGAGATGGTGTTTTTTGGATATGTATCTTAGATTTCCATTTTACTTCCCAGCTGCCAAAACCACCAGAGAGTGGTCAGGTGATTTACCATCAACTGTAAAGGGATGAGAGAATCCAGCTCAGCCCCAGATCCAGGCTCTCCACCCAGCCTTGGAGCATCGGCATTTATAGAGCAGGACACACTGGCCTTTCAGAGTGCCTCCGATGGCGAGAAAAGGTGAAGTAGGCCACTTGGGAAAGCAGAAAGCGGAATTCTTCCACACCCAGTGTAATATTTTGCCACTGTGACCTTCTAAAATGATATCAGATTGCACCCTTGCATTGTTAGAATGGTATTTTTGCAAAGAAATTCTGCACTTGCATTGATTCAGAATCATGTTGATGAAGGAGCTGGGAGCATGCATTTTCCCTCCATGGAATCCGAGAGCAATTGCAATGACCTCAGCTCATATAAGCCTATATTATATTGACCACCATGCTGAAAACCAGACATTTTAGAAAAGCCCAATCTTGCATCAAGAGCTGGCTTTGACTCTTTTGCTAGCAGGCTTGGGGGATGCACAATCTTAACTCTATCACGAGAGGTTCTGTGGAACCCAGGGATACCTGAAAGAATGGCCACTTTCTCCACTCAGAGATCAGCCCCACATTGGGCAAAGTCTCCTCCTGATCCATGCCCAATTCAACTGGTACTCGGCTGACTTTCTTGCTGGACAGCTAAGTAGTAACAAGCTCTTTCAGGCCCAAGCTCACTACCCGTTTGGCTTCTGGGGGAATTCTCTTAGCTGCACCAGGGCAGCCTCTGAGTAACATCTTCATACGAGCAGATGTGCCCACAGTTTCAGAACAAGTTCTAAGGTTTGGCTCATCAGCTGTTCGGTCTGCCTCATCAGGAGACTGAGCCATGTGAGGGGAATCTCATTAGTACATAGGCTGGGCTTGCTGATACAAGATCAAACATTTCTAAACTGATAAACACACATTTAAAAGGGCACTTTCATCACCGTCAAATGGCTCTCATGCCACTTTGGGGAGGGGGGAGGGAGGGAATCACAACCTAATTTAGAAATGATGAAAGTCACATAAAAGGAACAATGCTACTAACTTCATTATAAAACACCTGAAGCCACCACATCTTGTGAGTTGAAGCCACCAGATCTTGTGAGTTGTCACCACTGTTTACTGATCCATCGTAATAATAGCAACACCGTGACCTAAGAGTACTGACTGGAGCTGTGGGTAGCCCTCAGTGATTTGTTAAGAACAATTTCTCAGAAGCCTGCTTATCACGGGAGCTGGGCGCAGCGGCTCCAGGCTCCATCCCTTAGAACTGGCGATGAGTTAAGGTGTGGCTGGCACAGGCCAGAGTTTCTGGGAAGCCCTTAGAATCTCTAATCATGCCTGAACGCCACTTGTGATCTGATCAAAGGTTTTCGAGCTGCCAGAAGAGAGCTGAGCCATCCACCTCTATAGTGTAGTGGTTGGCAAACTGTGGCTCTCGAGTTTATGCCGACCTCTGTCCTATTATATAATTACCCTTTACCTCTGCACACAGTATGCCACTATTGCCTAATCCTCAGTTTCCAACTACACGGTAACATTTAGTCTAATCCAGTTGTTAGCAAACTCATTAGTCAACAGAGTGGCAAACTGTGGCTCATGAGCTGCAGTTTGCCGACCACTGCTATAGTGTATACAAAATCACCCAGGATTCTTGTGGGAATTAAGAGTATCTTGGTCATAAAGGTTCATCATTCTTCTTCAGAAATCATTTGTCAGATTTGCAGCCCTGTCTCCAGCTCAGGAAGGTAGACTTAGAAAGTAGTTGCTGTTTATTTCTAGCTGAGGCCCTGAGACCTAACTTACCCATCCTTCCCTAACCCTTTGTCGGGATGAAAATATTAAGTAGCCGCTTTTCATCAACATTTATTTGATGACTGCTAGCCAGCAATTTGTAGCTGTCAGCATGGAATCAAAATGAATATTGACTCTTTTAAAGGAAGAGGTACAGAGGTTTCTAATAAACAATATATGGTTAAGGAAAAAACACCCACATATCAATATTTGTAATGCATTGGTTAGTACTCTGACCACCCACATATTGATATTGGTAATGCATTGGTTAGTATTCTAATATAACTCATGTTTTAATAAGGACACATATTACACAATTACTGTTTAGTTTTCAAGTTTCTCTAATTTAAAATGCATGCTTATTTAAAAGAGAATAGATTCCTATCTTAAAGTAGAGTTAACTACAAGATGTATAAAAAATAGTCACTGTCACAGAATATTTATCTATAGTCAATGATTCTGAAAGTAAATGTTCTAAGATTGCTTTATCGCAGACCTACAGGAGATTGCACAGAAAATGCTGAATGAATGGACTTTTGCAGCAAGTACAGATGTGTAAGGGGACTGAGATGGCTTGGAACCCCACGGGCAGGAAGGAGAGGCCTTGGGAAGAGAGCAGTGGTCACTGTACTGAATTCCCAGGACAAAGAGGTGATGTGAAGTGAGCAGGTGCCTCTTCCTATCCTCAGAGCTTTCTCTGTACCTCATCTGTGGTCTGTTAGGCAAGACAGACCCTTCCCAAAGGCAAAACCAGCCACCTTTCCAGCGGCCCCGTGAATACACAGGATCCCCTACCACAGAGCGCTGGAGTGAGACCGTCAGTGGAATGACTGTCCGCCCCCACAGCCCCTGCCTTTCCTGCTTCCCAGTAGCACCCTGGAAGGGGGTTTCTGCCATTCGCCTGGACAGTGCAGCACAGGCTTTGAATCCATCCCTGGATATAGGTCTGTTCCTCCAGAACAAGGGCAGCTGAAACCTCTGGTTTTAAAGACAAACAAAAGCAAGCTGCTCCGAAAGGTTACGAGTCCCTGCTGACGGAGAGCAATCTAAGCTGACAAAGGTGCCATGGATTGTGTTCGTTGGTAGGGCAATGCAGTGCGCACAGGAAGAAGGCTCCCAGGCCTCCCCGTTAGCAAGACTGTGGCCACCAAGCGGCCCTCTGCCTCCACTGGGATGCTGCTGTCGCTGAACAGACCAAGGTCATGGAATAAGTGCTAACCAATCAACACACCAACTTGCCCCAAAACAATGGGAGAAGAAGAGAACAGAGAAGTCTACTGGAAGGACTCTTCCCTCCACATGGTCCTGCTTTCCCAGAGGCTTGTTGCAAATGAGGCCCATTCATGAGGTAGCATCTATGAAGAGCTGATGATTCTTCGGGCAGGCATCATGGGGAGAGCTTGTAAGCACGACATTCTCGCCCCACACAATGGGTGATTGGATTCCCATGTGTGGAGAAGCCACCTTAGTGTCAGAGGTCAAAAGCAACTTATCCCAAGTCACTCTGATACCACATAAAGGGCCCTCCCCAGAAAGCAGACACG